CACAGTCCGAGCATCTATGTGGCACTTCCGTGTCCCTGACTAAAGTCACGCTCTGCTGGATCGAGGATTTTGTTTGCCTTATTCTGGGCTGAACCCCAGCACTTCGACAGCCCCCTGGCACAGGCAGGCCCGCAGGGAAACGTGCTGTGTAACTGAGTGATTGAGAACGGCTGCCTGGTTTCAGAGCCTCCAGAGTCCGTCAGGCCAGGTAGACTCCCTGTCAGCCACCTCCAGCGCCCCCCGACACGGCCTGGGGCACAGGGTGGTCTCAGCTGGCTGGGAAGTCTCAAAACCCTTGTTCTTTCTTCTTCAGGGACAAAAACTTTTCTCATTACCCCCGATTCAATCCCTCGGGCATCCCTGCAGCAGGTCATGGGGTGCTCAGGGACACAGTCCGAGCATCTATGTGGCACTTCCGTGTCCCTGACTAAAGTCACGCTCTGCTGGATCGAGGATTTTGTTTGCCTTATTCTGGGCTGAACCCCAGCACTTCGACAGCCCCCTGGCACAGGCAGGCCCGCAGGGAAACGTGCTGTGTAACTGAGTGATTGAGAACGGCTGCCTGGTTTCAGAGCCTCCAGAGTCCGTCAGGCCAGGTAGACTCCCTGTCAGCCACCTCCAGCGCCCCCCGACACGGCCTGGGGCACAGGGTGGTCTCAGCTGGCTGGGAAGTCTCAAAACCCTTGTTCTTTCTTCTTCAGGGACAAAAACTTTTCTCATTACCCCCGATTCAATCCCTCGGGCATCCCTGCAGCAGGTCATGGGGTGCTCAGGGAGGGTTAACTCAAAGCCCCTCTCCTCAGGGCAAGTGGCACTCACTCCCGGAGCCAAGATATTTACACCGAGAACGTCAGTCGGCAGGATCATAATTCAATTCTAATAAAACTGTATCATTCAGCCCAGGAAACATAAGAGGACATACAAAACTGATCAATTCTACATAAACTATAGTGAGAAATATGGAGGCTGGACGAGTTGAAGAACCGGTAGAAAATTGAGACCTGGGGGACAGGGGAAGCCAACCTGGGAGGGGGCAGAGCTCGTGGGAAGACAGACATGGTGGGATGCGAGGACGAGGGACAAGGGCCCTCTCAGACGAACCCTGACGTGTGGCTGCAGCAGAGCCTGGGGCAGGACAGGAGATGCGGAACCCCTCCTCCCCAGCCACAGCACCCAGGTCCCCCACAGACCTCATCCTGCAGATGAAAGACCTCCGTGAGCCCATGCACATCCTCATGGAAGACTGCTGTCCCTCCTTCTTGACCGTCCCCGTCTTCAGGTCCAGGATCCGGCCTAAGTAAGAGAGGGACACAGGTGTAAGCCTCTGCCTTTGATGGGGTTGTGGGGCGGAGGGGCGGAGAACTTTCTCCAAATGCTCTGCAAAGGGGGACAAACGGAGCTGTGCGAATCATTTCTCTGTCTGGGATGCCCACCATTCTCTGGGAACACGTGGAGCCACGAGACCCGTACGATTCTAAGAGGCTCTTCTTCAGAACGCCGTCTCCACCTGGCGTCCCTGCTCCCTTGGACAGCATTTGCCGAAATCACCAGCACCTTCCTTGCTGCTGCTCCCAACACCCCTTCCTCAGTCTCCACTCCTCTCCTTCCTCCGCTCCTGCCCTGGAGACCTCAGCGGCCCACCGTCTCTCCTCCCACTGGGCCCCTTGCCAGCTTTATCCACTCCGGGGACGACTGCCTCTGTACAATGAGAATCTTGCATGCCCCCAGCACCCAACCCTCCATCCCTCCGCCCCAGGCCCAGACCACCAGCCGCACGTCAAGGCCAGCACCAGCCGACCCGACCCCGACCAGGGACCCGTCCACAGGGAAGTCGAGGTCAGAAGGCCGGATGCCCTGCGAGAGTCCTTCCCTCCATCATCACCCGGCACGCGCCCCTGTCTCTCCATCACCTCCGCCCTCCTGCCATCCCTCGGCTGAGGCTCACGGGCTCCCAGCCTCTGGCATCCCGCCTCGCACGCGGCCGCCAGCTGTGTAGACCACACGCATCGGATGGCCCACCTGTGTTCCCAGCTGCAGCACCGATGCGAGCTCCCCCAGGCTGCCTGCCCCTCCCCCTCACTTCCACCCCACTTCCCAGTACCCCGCCAAGGGAAATGTCGGAGCCGCCCGTGTAAGTGTCCGTGTCCCAGCAGGCCCGCGTTTTCAGAAGAAACGGGCACCGTCTGCAACGACAGACCTGGCGCATTACTGTTTCAGCACGTGAAGCCCCTCGGGGTACTTTGCGTTCTGTTTCGCTCCCTGAGGCTTTGATGTTGGTGCGTCTCGTGCACACAGGGCACGTCTCCGTTCCAATGCCCCCGTCCCGGGTGCTCCACAAGTGCCCGTGGCCAGTGGCCTCCGGACAGGGTGCGCACGGCTCCAGACACGGCCAGCATGCCCGCCCCTCGGAGGGCCTGCCGCCTCGCACGTGTGCAGACACGTGCTTTCTGCCCCAAGTCCACACCCTGTTCCACGTGAGGGGCACCCTGGCGAACTCCTGCTCATCCTCTGACTCGCCTGTCACGGCCCCTCGGAGGCTTCCTCTGGGTTCCGCAGGTGGAGTTTCCCGCCCCCGCCTATCCAGGCACCCCCTCCCTCACCCCTCAGTATTTATCACGAGTTTCTGTAGAGCCAGGGCACCCCGTGAGGCCCTGGGGGTGCAAATGTGAGCCAGGCACCGTCACGTCTGCAGGAGGAAACAGACATCCCCACCACTTGTCCCGCTGCACCAGACCGACGTGTTTGCTCGCCCGTTTACCATGACTTTGACTCTGAACCCAGCGGGAAGGTATTGACTGAGTGGAAAACCGTGTCCTAGCACCGTGGACAGTTCCTGGCCCAGTGCATGTGGCTGAACCCACCTGTGTGCATCCCCAGGAAAGGACTTTGCAACAAAGTTGGCATTAAGTAACGTGAATTTCAATGGGTTTTTACTTCTATTTCCGTTTCTACATCAAAACAAACTGACCTGCACCCACCCCCCACCTCGCTCCCACAGCAGAGGAAATGCTGCTTCTCCTCCCCGAGAGCCCAGCCAAAGCCGTGAGCCTTGTTCCATCCCCCAGACCCTCCCACCAGGCCCCTCCACTATTCAAACACGTCAGATCCCTGTCACTGATTGGGGGAGGGGACAAACAAAACCCTTCTTTGACCCTGAGGCTCCTCCTCTTGCTCCCTGTGCTCTGTCCACTCACGGCCAGCCCGTGGGCAGCTCTAGCCCAGTCACCGGGGCCCTGTATGCAGGCAAACTGAACAGATAATAAGCAGTCCCTCTCCACTTGGTTCCTGTCCTCAACCAGTCCCTTTTTCCTGGACCCTTCTCATCCTGAACCTCTCCTGCTTCTCCATTGCTGGTGGCACTCCAGAGCCTGGGCCTTCTGTCCCACTCTCCCCGGGCCCTCAGGGCTTGAGGACACCAAGATAGCGCCTCTAGCAGGACCTCTCTCGGAACCTCCTGTGTGTCTGTCGGACATTCCAGACACAGCACGGTGGGCAGGAACCAGAACCCTCGTGGGCTCCCCCCCACCCAGCACCCACAGTAGTAGGGAGGCCGCAGGGCACACGGCCGGGCCCACAGTGGCCCAAATGTCTCCAGGCAGGACATGTCCACCAGAACTCAGCCCCGAGCAGAGGCCCGCCCCACCGTCTGCTGAGAGCTTGGCGCTGCCCGTGCGGGGCCCCAGGCGGGGGTTCGAGTCTGGGCGGGCGGCCGCCCCAGTGCTGACCCCTGTCTGTCTCGCTCGCAGACGCGGGCTCCTTGCAGCCGCTCCCAGGGTAAACTGTCACTCACTTTATCGTCTACCAAATGGCAAAGGGTTTCAGCGGCAAAGCAGGCCAGCTGAGTCTGTCAAATTCCGGAGGCTGCTCTGAAAATAAACCGCAACTGTGGGACACATGAGCTGTGGCGCACGAGGAAATGAGAAAACACATGTCCGTGATCTGCTGTCAGGACCCCAAGAGACAGCGGCCGCACGTTTGTTTCTCTGGTGCTTCTCCAGTTTCCTTGGGCACAGGAGCCCCTTTCCGGGCTCCATGGGGGGAAGCACGCTCAGCTTTATACCGCGGTTGTGCTCCTGAAAGGTCTGGGAAACTGGGCTTTTGACCTGAGAGCAGTGTAGACATATGGAGGCAAGGGGCCGCCCCCCAACTCTGGCAGTGAGTCCCGGGAAAGGGGGCCGGGGATCACTCTGTCCCCCGGCAACGGGCTGTCAGGCTGACTTGCCATGGGGCTCCCCAGTAGGAAGGGAACACGGAGAAGAGGCTGCTACGTGCGTGGCTTCCAGTCTTCTCTCCTGGCCCACAGAACCCTCGGGTCGGCTTAGAACCATGGGGCTGCATTCCCAGGGCTGGTCCCAGTGGGTCCCTCAAAGCACAATCAGTCCGGGCCAAGGCCGACTCCTTCCAGAGTCCAGCCTCATCCCCGGGTCAGAGGACTCACTCTGCAATGCTGCCCCGAGGGGGCCCCAGCACCCATCCCAGCCCGCTCCCCTCGGCAGGTGCTGAACGCCCAGCCCTGTGGCCGTCTCTCGTCTCCGACTCCTCCCCATGACTCCTGCTTCCCTCCTCCCTCTCTCCTACAGGGTGCCCTCTGGAATGTCCCTTCTGCAACAAACAAACCCCCACACCCTCGGCTTCTTTGAGAAGTTCCCTGAACCCCAAGTCAGCAGACCAGCTTGACTGACCGCTTCCAGGCTGCGTGTCCCCCAGAGGGAAGGCGGACGTGCGCTCCCACAGCCCAGATGCCCTGTGGTCCGAGGCGGGTCTGCATCTCCCTCGGGCCCCAGAGCCCCTCCACACAGCGCTCCCGGCATACAACCCGCAGCTCCTCCCAGACTCCGGCGTCCGCCCTGTGCACCTGCTACGTCTCGGTCGTCCCACCCGTGGGTCACTCTTCCTCCATGTCGGACACCAGCTTGTCCCCCGGCTTTCTCTTCACTTCCAGAGCTGCCATCATCGGACTCGGCGTGTGGAGGCCCCCAGCAGCCCCACTCAGGGCTCACCCTCCTCCCATGGTGGCGCCTCCCCCAGCTCAATGTTGTGGAGCGTGAGGCGTCTACAACCGCGCGGTCCGAGATCTTGTGTTCGAGCACACCGGCAGTGCCCCCGGTCCGGCCCCCGCTCCACCGAGGGTCCAGCGTCGGAACCCGCAACCCCGATCGGCTTCCGTCCCTGCGGAAATGCTGAGCTTCCCTCCGGTGTGGATTCGTCCTTGGCGCCAGCAGCGCCCGGGGACCCAGTGGCCAGATCCGGCCCAGGCGCCCCGGCCAGCTTCCCGCACAGCCGCAGCGGAAGCTGATACTTTCCCAGGTTGATGCACGAAGGGGGACCATGGGCGAGTGAACGGCAGGGCCCACGCCTGAGGTATCCGATTCCAGAAGGAAGCGGCAGCCAGGACAGAGGCGCAGCCCCCGTGCAAGTGGGTCTGGGGGAAGGGCTGGCGGTGCCCCGCTCTCTCAGCTGGAAGACAGGACTGGACCCGCCTGCGCTGACGGTCACGTGCGGCGCCAAAGACAGACGCGCAGACACCCCATCGGCCGCCCGCACGAATGCTAGAAGCAGTTGGTGGCTCCAGGCGTCAGCTCTGTGAGCCCCAAGATGAGGGCGGCGCCCCGGACTGGAGAGCCACAGGGAGGGAGGTTCCCCGCAGCCACCTCCAGCTCCTCTGAGTGAAGAGAACATTCTGGAAGTTCTCGCCTGTGTCAGGTGAAAAGGTTGAAGAACTACTTATTTCTCCCTTAAAGTGCTTCTGTTCTAAAACTAAAGTGGTCTTTGGGAAAGTCACACAGACACACACACAGTAAAAACCCCAAACTCTTTCTGCCTTGAGAAGAACAGTACTAACATTTGGGCGTTCCTGAAAATCTCTGTGCGTGCCTGTTTTTTCTTTCAATTAACCAAGGTGCCATGGTGTATGTTTTTCCTCCTTATGTCACAACACAAACTCACAAAATTGTGATCACAGACGTCATCTGGAAGGCTCTACAACACTGTTTTGCTCAGATGGTTTACCGTGGGACATGAAGTTATTCCCAGGTTTTCCACGTGGCAAATAACACCATGGTCAGTAACTGGGTGGGGAAAAATCACCATATCCAGACCTTCTCAGGCTAGATTCCCCAAAAATGGAACTATGGCATCACAGGAGGACATGCTGTCAGCACCGACATCCGGGCTGCTCTCAGCCCCCCGTGAACCCGCAGTGAGCTCTGGACTCCACTCCGTGACACGGGGACAAGTACAACACGTCTCAAGGGTTACAAGGACCATTTTTCTAAGTTGAAGGCATGAAATGC